GGAAGAGAAGAAGACAAAGAAGGAGAGAGAGCCGAGGCAAGCTTACAAATCGAGGAGGTCTTCTTTTGTCGGCCAGTTGACGCAAAAGCAAAGCCGTATGTTAGACGCAGTTTTCGAAGAAAGAGAGAGAAGCGGGAAAGTTGTATACATATATGTATATATATTGTATATTTATGTATTATATACATTTTTTCAACTATTTTTTGTCACAAGAGTGACTTGGTTAAGTGGTCTGGTTTGGCGTCTAAGGATGGAGAGGTTAAGCCCGAGGTCAAGAGTTCGAAACCCCGTATCCCTACATTCGTGTTTCTTTCCCTTTTGCGTGTTTTGCTTATGTGCGATGACGTCAGCTAACGGAATATTCCATCGTAGTAACGGCATATGCTCTCTGACGTCCATAGACAGAATATTCCTTGTCAGTAACGGCATATTCCCCAAATGTGTCTGTGTATATATACGTATCTATGTATTTTCTCTATATTTGTTCGTATATGTCTGTGTATCTTTTGTTCGTATTTGTCCCTTGGTGAAAATATTATGGAGACACCACGGGATTGAGGAGGCGACTTGGGAACGTGAGGCAGAAGTCCGCGAGAAGTATCTGAACCTTTTTATCGATGTTTGAGAGTTGTAATAGAAATGTTATTTTGATATTAGAATGTACATTATATGTGTTACGAAATAGGCTGAATTTCTTATGTTTAATTATGAGGTTGTGTTATCATGCCATGATTGTGTTTCTACGGTTGTAATTGATTTTGATTCAGTGAGGTTATCTAGTTTAAATTTCGGAAACGAAATTTCTTAAAGGGGGAAGGTTGTAACGAGTTGAATCAATTGAATTTATATTTTAATCTCAGTTGGAAATTTATTTTAAATTATTAAACTCCATTCATTTTGGACCCAATTGATTGAATTGTGACTTGTTAGTAACCATAAAATATTGTTGTGGTTTTATTATTATTATTTAATTACCATAAAAGAGTTGTGAATATTTATGGTGTATACCATTAAACGAAACATATTTTGTGGTGAGAAAATATTATAATTACTTTTGTCATTAAAAATGTTGAAATATATTTTTAATTGATATATATATATATATATGTGTGTGTGTGTGTGTGTGTGTATATATATAGTTAGATATTTATGGTTAGATATTTGTTTATACTATATATATAAAAGTAACAAATAGATATTTTGTTCAACTTTTGGGAATTCTTGGAGTTCTTGCCGTGAGAAAACAAGAGAAAAGAGATTCCAAGTTGGTTTTTCTCAGATTTGATCTAGTGTAAGTCATTTTTGAACCATAGTGCTTTGGATCAAAACGTAGAGGGCGGAAAAGACGTCGTTTGACTCCAAAAAAAAATTAATTTTTGTTGCCGAAAAATTTGAAAGCTTCTTGGTTCGAGGTAGGAATTTTTCCTACACTTCTTTATGTATCGATTGGTTTGGAAATTTTTACTGGTTTGTGACCAAAAGAGCATTTTTAAAGAAAACAAAGGAATTAAGTTTAACTTTTGGGGCTTTTGATCAAAATAGGATGTCATAGTTGAATAATGCTTGGAGAATGAGTTTGGAAAGAAAATGATGTTTTCTTGGGCATTAACGGTATTATTTTGCTTAATGTATCTGTTGGAAAAAAACCAACACGGTTAGAAATGGACCTTGAGAGGTTACTGGACATGATTGTGATATAAAAACTAGTGTAGTTGTTCATATTTGATAAGATGTGGAATAGATTGTATTTATCGAAATTTTTAGAATTAATTGTTTAAATATTTGTTTAGAAACATCTGTTTTTGGCTATCGGTGGAGGATAACCATGATTGTTGTAGAAATGCATGAGACTTAAGTAAATTGAACCACATTCCTCATTTGTTGCATTGGACATTGCATTACATTCATTTCATTAGAGATGTATCTTTTTTTTTATAAATGTTTGGAAATGTATCTGTTTACGAAAAGATGAATACTTGGTGAATCTGGGTAGGGGGTGTAGAACCGCGTAGTTAGGTATCGAACCTTCCAGTTTATTGGTAAAAATGACAGTGGTAGTGCATTAGGGCCTACTTGCAGACACTCACCTAGAGATTTACGGAGCCTGTATTCATGTAACAGATATGGTTTAAAATAGAAATGGTTTTATATTTGTTGTTGCATCTCAGCATTGTATGCTTTATAAAAAGAGAGATAAATTATTTTATCATGAGCATGGCATGAGCATACTCCTCTTTAGTCTTGTTATGGTCCATATGTTGTGTAGTATATCTCTACTGGGCTGTGGCTCACCCTATAGGAAAACCATTTTCAGGTATAGGTGATATGCTTCTGCCAAGGCATTGACTTGGGAGAACTCGGAGCTGAGGCTTCATTTTTGTTTTATGGTTATTTGTTGAATGTAAGCCCAAGGTTGTATTTGCATTGGAAATTCCATTTTGTGTAACCAAGAATGTTTTTAGATAAATTTGTAAGCTTGTCGGGCACTTATTATCTGTTTGGTTTCCATTTCATACTTGTTGTAAAATGCATGCTTGGGATTGGAACTGGAGCATTGAGATGTGAACAGCATGTATTTGGCATTTGGTATTTAATGGAAATGGATGTATGAAATTGTTAGCTATATATATGTGTTTGTCTATCAGATGGGTTTTGTTGCATAAATAAATATATCCTGCCCAATTTTGGGGGCTACAAAAAGTGGTGATCTTATTTCAAAATTCTAATTATGAAGGGAGATATGGCCGATTTAGTAAAAGTTCCATATAAAGATAGAGTAATTCTATTTCAACACACCAAAATATCTCACTTCACATCCTCTCTTAATACACACACCAACTAATTTTGAATTTTATAATTTTACTCAATGCACAACCCTTTTTGCCAAAAATAACCCTCTCTTAACATTGAAACCCTAAACCAGCATTGATTGTCACCCGTCGCCTATTGTCATCCATGACCATGCATCGACGATGGCAATGGCTCTGAGTTACCCCTTTTCAACTCCCTTTTACCGCTGTCGCCGTCTTCGCCATTCTTTCTACCCCTCCGCTAGTTATTTTCTAGACTAAAAATAATCCAAACTTTTAACATCAAAACCTCACACAGACATATATACTAACACATAGTATACATATACATACGAACCTTATGGAAAGTAAGATTTGGGCCATACAAGTCGAGTTATACTATTACATTTGTTAGTGTTGTTTATTCTCCCCTGCTTTGGTCTTGAAAAGAATTCTCATTCATTTTTAAAAAAATTGTTACATTGAGGCACTGTAAATGGCATGTTGGTTAGAGCTATGGTTTAATTATGGATTTACATAAGTTATTAAAAAAAATTGTTATATATTCATCAGAATTTTAGCCTCAATCCTTACTGAAGACACAAAGCTCACAAAGGTTTTTACCTTTCTCAACGAAGGAACAACAAAAATTACTACCACTTCAATTAAGTGGAAAGATGGCATAGTAAGAGGACTTTGTTCATGCATTTCCATCCAAATGCAATTGAAGCACCATGTGGGTTCCAATATACCTGCACCACCAGTCACAAGTATATTCTGCACCATAACTACACAAACCCGAGAGAGAGAGAGAGAGAGAGAGAGAGAGAGAGAGATGAGGGGATGGCAATTTTGCAGCAAAGAAGTTGTAGCGGAGTTGATGGTGGCAATAGCGATGGGTGGTAGCTAGGGTTGGGGTTAAGAAATTAGGGTTTTAGTGGAGAAGATAAGGACACTTTAGTAATTTTATTTTAGGACAAAATTGTAATAAAAAAATAAATCATTAAATGTGTGCACAGAAGTAAGTAGGTGTGTGAAAATAGAATTTCCCATAAAGATAAGGAGCATTAATCTACTGAGTGTTGCTATTAGCACCCCATAAATTATTTTGGACCTCTCAATTTTTAGCTCTTTTTTTTTTATTGCAATAATAATCTCAAATAAAAATAGGAAAAAAGACATCATTAATATCGGGACACCCCATCTCATAATTAAACCCACACATCAACTACAACATGAATTACGGTTTATAAGAGCACACACCTCCATTACCACCCATGCATCTTCCCTAAATCTCACCTTCAAAACTTACCCACCCTCAAAACCTTGAAAACCTTTTTGGCGGCAGGCGGTAATAGTAGCAACCATTTGATTACTTACATTTCTCCGGCAATGACAATGAGTGAAAGTTTTTCAGCAACCACAGCTCCATGAGACGAGAGGAGTACAACAATAAAAGTTCAGAGGAGGTTTATAGCTTTGATGGTGTTTTTAGCTCAGAGAAGATTGACCTTGTAAGGGTAAATTTTTTTTAAAAAATGGCAAAAATAATAAAATCCGTTCGTCATTTTTTTGGAATTGAACTCCTGAACATATGACCGAAATTTGGAAACATAGGGCTGAACATTGTTTATTTGTTCGGGAACCAGTAACCGAACATTTATTATTGTTCGGAAATATGTTACTGAACATAAATCACCAAAGAAATTGATGAGGCGGCACAGAGAGAGAGCATACCAACTATGACAATTAATAAACTAAAGAAAAGAATGAGACGGCAGAGACAGTAATCACGCTTGGCTGCTCTTCTTCTTCTTCTTCATGGGTTATGTTAAGGGTTTTGAAAGAGAGGCTTTTTTAAGATGCGAATGGTGTACATTCAATTGAATGTGTGAAATGTTTTTATAATGATAATTTTGATATTATTTTGGAGGGGGGAAGATAAATTTTAAGAGTTTCAAAATTTATAAATAAAAATTCAAAAAAATGAAAGGTTTAAAATAATAGATGGAGTGCTAATAGCACCACTCTATTCTATTTTTGTCCCTAATGAGGTAAAATTAGCTTTTTGTCCTTCCCATGTCAAAATATAACACAAATGGTGGTGTGTAGTGAGACAAAGAAAGTGTGGTATGTAGATATAGAATCAAAATGACGGGGAACCTCATCTTTCCATGAATACCTGCCAAACGTTAACGACCTCTCTTATCAATGGAGGCATTTGCATCACTGAACCTCCAAAAACTTGCACTCTTGCCCAATCAAACCCCAACCAATGACTCCAAATGCTGGAATTCAATCATCAAGCACCACACTAAACTGAAAGATGACCATTCAATACTCACTACCTACACTCAAATGGAATCACAGGGCATCTTGGCCGACCCTTCCACTTTGCCTCTCGTCCTCAAGGCCTGTGGGAAGCTACAAGCCATCGAAAGAGGCAAGAAGATACATAATGACATTTGGAACACTAACTTGATCCATGATGTCCGAGTTCAGACTGCTCTTGTTGATTTCTACTGCAAATGTGGGTTAATTCAAGATGCCCTCTATGTGTTTGATGGAATTACTGATAGAGATTTGGTGTCTTGGAATGCTATGATATCTGGGTATGTGGGTTGTTCTTGTTATGTGGAGGCAATCATGTTGTTTGCGGAAATGCAGAGGGAGAGTTTGAGACCCAACTCGGTCACTGTGGTGGCATTGCTTTCTGCTTGTGGGGAGCTCTTGGAATTGAGGTTCGGGAAAGAGATTCATGGGTATTGTTTGAGGAATCGACTGTTTGATTGTAATGCTCATGTGGGTACCGCTTTGGTTGGTTTCTATTCAAGGTTCGGTGTGGAGATCTCTGGCAATGTGTTTGAAATGATGGTTTTGAGGAACGTTGTGAGTTGGAATGCAATGATTTCTGGGTATTTTGATGCAGGGGATTCTTGGAGAGCTTTAGTGTTTTTTGTGCAGATGATCATGGATGGGTATAAGTGTGATTCCATTACAATGTTGATTGTCATACAGGCCTGTTCGGAAGTTGGATCTCTTAAACTGGGCCTGCAAGTCCATCAATTGGCAATTAAATATGGCTTTATTGAAGATTTATTCATAGTGAATGCATTGTTGAATATGTACAGTAAGAATGGATGTTTAGCATCTTCACTCCAGCTATTTGAATCCGCCCCCACTAAAGATATTGCTTTGTGGAATTCTATTATGTCTATGTATGTTGAGATTGGCTTCCTTGAGAAAGTTATGAGTTTATTTATTAGAATGAGATTAGAAGGCATCCGGGAAGATGAAAGAACTATTGCTATTTTGTTGTCTTCCTATGTTGACTTAGATAATGCTTTGAGCAATGTGAAAAGCCTACATGCTCATGTAATTAAAAGGGGGAAGGAGATGACCACATATCTCGGAAATGCATTTTTAAGCAAGTATGTAGAGCTAAATTGTATTCAAGATGCCTTTAAGGTTTTTGATGATATCGGCGATTCAGATGTAATCTCATGGAACACTTTGATATCGGCACTGGCCCGTAATGGATTTAGGGGTCAAGCATGGGAACTCTTTGAGCAGATGCAACAATCAGATATCGAACCTAACTCTCACACAATAATTTCTATACTTGCTGCTTGTGATAATGAATCCTTTTTAAGTATTGGCAGGTCCATTCATGGTTATGTGATAAAACATAATATTGAAATAAACCCATCACTAAACACTGCACTCACAGAGATGTATATGAACTGCAACAAGGAATCAACAGCTAGGAACTTATTTGAGAGCTGTCGAGACAAAGATTTGATCTCATGGAATTCTTTCATTGCCAGTTATATTAAAAACAAGCAAGCTGACAAAGCCTTTTCACTTTTCCATCGTATGATCTCTGAAGTGGAACCCAACTCAGTCACCATCATAAATATTCTCTCATCATGCACCCATACGGCTAATCTCCCTCAAGGCCGATGCTTACATGCCTACACAACCCGTAGGGAGTCTTCATTAAGTTTTGATTTGTCTCTGGCAAATGCTTTTTTAACTATGTATGCAAGATGTGGTAGTATCCAATATGCAGAACATATTTTTAAAATCTTGCCGAGGAGAAATGCTGTCTCTTGGAATGCCATGATTGACGCCTACGGCATGCATGGGCGAGGGTATGATGCTATGCTTGCATTCTCACAAATGTTAGAAGATGGTTTCAAACCAAACGGGATAACTTTTGTATCTGCCTTATCTGCTTGCAGCCATTCTGGTTTGGTGGAGAAAGGCTTGCAGCTTTTCCACTCCATGGTTCAGGATTTCTGCATAACCCCTGAGCTTGTTCACTATGGTTGCGTTGTTGACATGCTTGGTCGTGCAGGGTGCTTGGATGAAGCCAGAGAGTTCATTAATTTGATGCCTATTGCACCAGATGCATCTGTTTGGAGAGCTCTGCTCAGTGCTTGTCGAGTTTATTCTGAAATCAAACTAGCTAAAACCGTCTTTGAAAAGCTCATTGAATTAGAACCAACAAATGCAGGAAATTATGTTTTGTTATCTAATATCTATGCTGCAGCAGGTCTTTGGTCAGTGGTCAGAAAATTGAGAGTGCAAGTTGAGGAGGAGGGTTTAAAGAAGCCTCCAGGAAAAAGTTGGATTGTTGTTAGAAGTAAAATTCATTGTTTTACAGCTGGAGATAAATCACACCCTCAGTCAGACAAAATTTATGCAGAATTGAGTTCTTTATTATTTTCTATCAAAAAAGTTGGCTACGTTCCTGATCTTAATTGGGTTTTGCATGAAGAAGAGGATGAGGAGAAAACTAAGAGGCTCTTCAGCCACAGTGAGAAGCTTGCTATTGCATTCGGACTGATCAGTGTGAGTGGTGGGACCCCAATCTTGATCAACAAGAACTTAAGAGTTTGTGGGGATTGCCATGAATTTGGTAAATATGTCTCTAAACTTGTTGGGAGGGAAATAGTGCTCAGGGATGGAAGCCGTTTCCATCATTTTGTTAATGGACTCTGCTCGTGCAAAGACTATTGGTGAAGCATAGGGAATGCTAGAAATTTCATCTGTTTTGAAGGTCTATATTTATTGGTATGCTTCCAGTGAGTGAAAAATAAGCAAGATTATGAACTTTGGGAAAGCTTGGAAGGATCATTGAGTATCAGCCTTGGACATGAAAAAAAAAAGTTCAACTGTGATCCTGGAAGGTTGAAAAGTCACTGGCTGCTGACTCAAAATGTATATTAACCACTACTAGGCACACCTAGGGAAGTCAGTGATTGTTTTGAGTGTATATACCACCATTGTAAGAGAATCTGCAAAATTGTTCTTAAATCATACAATAATTTTCAGAAAGTACCTACTCTCTCTTTTTCATGTTTAAGAAATTCACAAATCAATATAAATATTCATGGTTTTTACAAATATTTTCACTGGCTCTGCTCTGAACGAGTTCAGAATGTAGTGTGCTTTCTTATGTGATGATGTAGATGGATCCTCCCCATTCAAATGTAATCTTAAAGGTTTTTTTCGTCTGTATATTGATCCAAATTTCTTGTACGAATTTTCAAAATATTGTCACAACAGTTCTCCAATTCCAAAGCATTGCTAATCATTAGTTTCAATCTGTACATTATTTAATTTGTTTCTTTTCGAGTTTTGCTTTATTTTTAGATAGCTCTTCAAATTTATTTTGTTACATGTTAAAGCGATGAAATACAATGGATTTCTATATTAGATTGACTAAATATTAGTACTTTTGTTTTTGTAACATTTTTTTATATGTATATTTGAATTAAGAATATGCATTGCAGTTGCCTTCGTTGTCATGTCTATTATTTGTATCAAGGAGTAGTGTTTTTAGTTCTTTTAGTAGAAAAGTATGAATTTAGACTCTTCTCGGAATTAATGATTGAGATAAGAGTAAATAAAGGCCAAAAACCATTTATGCAACTCAGAGCAGTGATGCCTATGAAAATAAATAAATAACAACTAATACTTGAGTTTCTTTGCAGAATTATTTGTTTGCTTTGCAGAATTATTTGTTTGCTCAGCTTGATGATTGTATCAGCAACCTTTTTTCGTTTTCTGTTGTATCAGCTAATGTCTGGTGATGTATGGTTGTACTAACTACTTATTTGTTAGATTTGACCAGCTGTGATCTTCTGCCCTCTTTATTTAATTATTTATTTAATTTATTTGTACTGACAAGTATTTGCCCTCTTTTTTTCTGACAAGTATTTTTCTTTCTCCTTGGGATTTTTATTTTCTAGAAGATCAATGGAAGAAGTTATTTGGCTATAGCATCAGCTTTAGAATCATCTGAGCATAAGTTTAAATGCTTGCAGGATTCCCTGAGGCCGTGGGAGGCATAAGAAGTTTCAAGAAGCTTCCAAAGTGGGTGCTCAAGTAATTTTTCTACCCGAAAGACTTAGATTCTCCTCTTTCTTATTCAAATAATTGGCTATAAAATTCCATGCTCTTTCTTTTCTCTGAAACCATGTTCTTTTAATGAATGCTACTCCAGGGTGATTATGGTGCTTAAATTCTGGTTCTGTCTGGTATATATTCTGAAATCACTGCTGTAATTATAGCGCACACACAGTATAATGGTTGATGATGTTACAGTTCAACTTAATAACATACGTGCATAAGTGTTATTTTGTTTCCATAGAACTTGTTGAACTATTTAGTTGACTATACATGTTTATATCTACAAATTGCCAGAAAATTTGCTTTATGCATCTTTCAAATTTGAGGTGCTATTGTAAAGAGGCTAGGATATGTATAAGATTTAAGTGTTGTAAGTTACCCTAAAACATGCAACATCATTAGATGATTGATGCAGATAGAAAATGAATTGGATGAAGTCTTTTATTGTTTTTTTTTATTTAAAATTTAATAGGCTTTATTATTTTCTTTAGTACGTAATTAGGAAGTTTTTATTTTATTTCATACTTAATTAAGAATTTTTTATTTTGGAAACTCTTAATTAGGGTTTTTGGGTGCCTATAAATAGGCCATTATGTAGGAGGTTTTTTCAACTTTGATATATGAATTGAATCGATAAATTTTAATTTTGAGAATGGCGTTTAGTTTATTCTTTTGGTTTGCTCTTTTCTTTATTATTATTATTGTTTCCTGTCCGGTCATCCTACATCAAGGACACTATGCAGCCAGTGATGATTCATAGTCCACAGTAAGTATTCTTAACCTTGTTGCTCACCTTTTTCAGGTTAAGGGAAATAATACTGATAATTGTTACATATAGTCTCTGAGGTAAATGAGTATACGTATATCACATCAATGTGAGGCTGATTGGACAATCCACCCAACCCAACTAACCTAATTTGTTGCATACAAAGAGAGTAGGAACATATGCAAAGGGGTAAAGAGAGAAGAAATCAATGGATAGCCAACAAATCCAATGACTTTGATTTGTTCATACCATTCTACCTTATAAGACAGTGAGGTGTTATGGGTGCATGATGCTGACATTTGATAGATAATATACGAACAAACAAAGATGGATCCATAATATACTAACAAATTTTTTTTTTTTTTTTTTTTTTTTTTTTTTTTTTTTTTAACGAAACTATGGACTATAAGATCAATTTCTACCAGCAAAAAGGAGTGAAAATAATAAATCAGCATGTTTTCTTGTACTCATGTTGAGTTACAAAATAGAGCAATTGTAAGACAGTATATCTACCAAGTGACACATCTAAAATTGTGATCGATGCTCTTTCATGTCAATAAAGACATCTATTTTAGAATCAATTTTGAAACTCCAACAAAAAATATGTATGTATATTTGTTGAGATTGTTTGGACTTGTTCAAACAACAACAGCATTTCCGAGGAGTCAGTCCGCAAAAATTGAAATGTCAGTCAAATATTTCAGAGAGGATCAATGGAACCCCAATTCTGACTATAGTCAAATAATTTCAGCAAGCTTCCAAACTGAGTGCTGAAGTAATTTTTCCCAGGGGTGAGCGTGGTCCATATTGGTTCAGTTTGGATTAAAACCAGAACCAATCCGTTGTCTACGGTTTCATAAAAATTGGAAACAAATCAATCCATTTAAATCACAGAACCAATCCGAATCAAACCATTTAAACATGGTTTGGCTTGATTTGGAATCACGGTTTCACATAATCTATTCACAAAGAAAAATCATGTAACATTTTCATTACAACATTAATTTACACATGATTTTTCAGAACATAAACATGCATATTGTTCTACCATTAATTTAAGCAAACATTATATCTAGTAAATAAACATATTGTTCAACATGTAGCAAGCATAAAACTCTCATTAAACAAGAGGGTAGGATAGTATGCATCGGGGGTGTATGGTATGTATATGGTCTAAGTTACATACGGTTTGGATCGGTTCTAATCCGAAACCGTGAACTGAAATCCAGAACCGATTCGGGAGGAACAGTTTCTCAAGTTTCCAATCTAGAAGCGAACCACGGATTCAAAAAACCAAACAAAACCTATCGGATTAGATTAAATCAGTTCGATTTGTAGATTTTATGGATTCCTTGCTCAACCCTAGTTTTTCCACTTGAAATACTTTTTTGATTCTCTTCCAGTTTATTCAGATAATTGACTATGAACTATTTTTGACCTCCTTGTTCAATTTTTTAGGTTAAGGTAAATATTAATGATAAATGATACATATAAGGTAGTACATTTGGGCTAGTAAGACGTACCGCTCAAATCAGTACGAAAAGCTTATATGACAATGTGTTTTGCAGCACTCTTATTAATCACTTTTGCTAGATGGTTGAAGTAGGCCTACTGGATATAATGTCTGTCTGTCTGAAAATGTTTGCTGCAAGTTCTGATCAACAGATGGAAAATGCAGGATCATGAAGAAACAGCATGCCAGAAAATGAATGCAGTTTTAATGAGAATTTTGACACATATGCGTGGTAGCCTATGGCTGCTCCGCCAGTCAGTTGTTAGCATCCTTGGTGATGTGGGTTCAAGTCACGTAAATAGCCTCTGCAGAAACAGGGGTAAGACGTGAAATTTATTTGCTTTGAAAGCATTTTTATCTGTTAAAGTCTGCTCCCTAAAAACCTTTTTTTATGTGTGGAAACCTCGGAAAATGAATGTAGAATATATTTTTGAAATATTTTTATGGATACAATGGATACTTCCTTGTTTTATGGAATGAACATCTGGAGACTAAAAGGTGGTAGGGAATTTTAAATTCCTTGCACACTATTTTTTAGAAACAATTATAGAGCAGAGAGAGATAAAAATGCTTTCAAAGCAAATTAAATAAAGATGCTAAATTTAGATCATATGATTGGAGAGACATATACATATTATATTGTTACAGCCCAGCCATTTCAGAAAATATGCAAACAACTCCTGATGGCAGGGCCAGCTTAAATATAAAGCCAATAAAACCCTTGCTTTAGGCCCCAATTTTTTAAAGGCCTCTAAATTTTTTAAAACCTAGATGCTATAAATAAGACCTCATATTGAGTTTTATACACAAATCTATATGGGGGAAAAACAAAAAGAAGATTAGCCTATTAAAAAATGGACCAAAATTAACTATTCTAGTTAACTTTGATATATATACATATATATATGGCACCGATACTGTCACTTTTATCAATGCAATAATAGCGATAACAAAGTCTGAATCAAGTGTCATATTCACTTTAACCCACACCTTCGCCCAAATTTACATAGGGTTGTTTCAGTTTGAGTGATCACATGCTTTTCAAATAATTTCTTCCAATTTGACAAAGATAGAATAGGTCATCTTTGTGTACTGATGTTGTTTCCATGCTGGCACAAATTCATATTTCCCAATTTTTTAAGCTTTTCTGTTTTTTTATTGCATGCACAATGTAAGCATTTCTTTGATTAATTAAGACTTCTAATGACCTTATGAAGAGGTTTTTTTTTGGGTCTAGACCTTATGAAGAGTTAGATTTGTTAGTTCAGTTGTACTTTCCATTTAGTCGAATTTTAGTCATACGTAACATGATTTCTGGAATTTGCAATATAGAGAAATGTTATATTTGACTTGTCACCCGTTGTATTCTGGGCTCAGGTTTGTATGGTTTCGAATAGTTATTTATATCTTGTTTCCCTTGTCTTCCCTTTATTTTGCTTATCGGGTTGTGGTCATGCATTTGGAACAAGTTGGTTGCTTAGTTTTCAAATTTTGGTGTTGCCCAGAATTTTGGTCCTCCGCTCGAGCAGGCCTTCTTGGGCTCGAGCGGGAGTTGCAAACTTTCAGTACTTTGCGCGTCTGCAAAAGTACTGTAGAAGTGTTTTTCACGCTCGAGCGGCGTTTCCTATGCTCGAGCGGGTTGGCACTCGAGCGGCCTTCCTTACGCTCGAGCGGTTTGTCTGTTGTCTGCAGAAGTTCTGGATGTGTGTTTTCTGCGCTCGAGCGGACTAATTTTGTGCTCGAGCGGAACAAAATGTTGTGTCTGACGCTCGAGCGTCAATTCTTCCGCTCGAGCGGACTGCGTGTATATCAGATCGTAAAAGTGACTTTTTACATCGCTTTTTCATATCTTTTCATCCAAAACCCTAAAGTTGAGAGCCTCTCTCTCTAAAATACTCTCTTTATATATATATTTTGACCTAGATCTATTAATTTCTCCACCTTACTCCCTTTGATAAAAAGATAGAACTTCTCAAGATCATCCATTTGACTCGATTAAAGTTGGATTTTGACATTTTTGGAGTTCCATCCTTGCTTGTCTCATCTTTTCTCTTTGAGGTAGGGACTCTCTACACTTTAATATGGTTTTTAACTTAGTTATTTGTCTATAGTGTAACAATGGTGGGATTTGGAGGTAATGTAGACAAACCTAGGGTTTGGATGAAATGTAAAAGAGAGGTTTTTGATAAAAGTGAAATAAATGAGCATGGGGTTGAGAATGAAGTCATGTGGTGTCAAAATAGCTGATTTTGGTACTTGGATTTGATATCTTGAAAAATGGGGATTTTGCCCTAGAATGATTATCACGATTATTTTGTATAAATAATTGGAATTGGTATTGAAATCATGAAATTAAGTGAGTATTGGAATAGGCGGTGGAATCAAGTATGTAATACTTCACATCTTTGGGAATTTCGGATAATTTATCTGTCTTGAGATTGTATATTTGTTTAGAAATATCTGTATTGGGCTATCGGTGGAGGATAGCTTTGCTTGTTGTAGAAATTGCATGTGGATTGGGTGAATTAAAACTAGTCCATGGATGATTATCATTGAATATGATTATGTTGTGAATACATTGTATATGTATGATTATTTGGAAGCAGAAAGGGGGTGTGCTCCATTATTTGGGAGGAGAAAGGGGATGGACTCCATTATAATTAAGTTGGCCAGAGTGTTCTTGGTGAAAGTTCTTAAATTATACATGGGTGCCAATCTCGCGGACGAAATATCCGTAAAATGGAAAATTTGAAATTTATACGTGGGTGTCGATCCCGCGAACGAAATATCTGTAAAATGGCATTTGGAAGTGTTTATGTGTTGGTTGTGAAATTATTGAACTACTGAGTTGTAGTCTCATTTGGGTTATGGAGGAATAATGAAATTGATTCATATGTTTTGAAATGAATTGAAGGAAAAATATAATGGAACATGGAATTGGTACTCAATGGCAATATAAAGGCATGAATATTTCACCCTAGGCATTGTACATGCACATGTGCTCATATTTTTGTTAAATCTTATATATTGTGTTAGATTATTCCTATTGGGCTGTGGCTCACCCTATTTGGGAAAAACTATTTTCAGATAATGATGGCATGCCTCCACCAAAGCATTAGCATTGGAGGGATCTTTGGAGAGCAAGAGCTTCTTATTTTTATTTTGTTTTATTTTGTATAGCCAGGGGCTAAATGTGTATGAGTTAGCTTCCTTTTGTTGTAACCAAACCAAGACTTGGAAAGATGTAAACTCAAAGGGCATTTAGTCATGCTAAACTCTTTTTTATTATTAATTTCATGTAATAAAAGGACTATTTACTCTGATTTATGCTATTATTAACACATGTTTTGGGGTTGTAATTAGTGTATTATTTTGAAGGCGTTACAAATGTGATCAAGAATTTTAGGTCTCCAAATTCTTCCATCTCAATTTGTTATCAATCATTGGTAATATGAAAATCTCGAGATATGTTTTGATAACGAGAGATGAACAAAAAGTATTCGGAGACAGAGGATCCCGAGAATGACAATGTGAGATAGACAAATGTATGATATGTCTAGGGGAAGAAAGAGAGTATGTTTGAGTATTTTTTTCGTTGATCTAGTCATGACAGGAAATTTTTATGTCCAAAAAATTGACCTTTTCAAAATTCTAGTCATGAAAGCCATCATTTAAATATAGATATTGAGATGATGTAAACTTGGCCGGTTTGAAAGCAAGGTTTAGTAGGCACTAAAGTACTGATTATATGAATATATATTGTTTCTCTGAAAACTCAGTATGACTTAAAACTTTTAATATTGATATCAAACCATGTCTTATAGTGTCATCATTCTAATTTTTGTTTTATTATTTTCTTTTTGAAGACCCTGTCAAAAGCAAAAGCCAGGATTGCTTAAACAGCAAGCAAAGGATGATAGAAAGCTATAGTCATCCATGAGTTCTAGGTTTGATGAGTAAAAGACTATCTTCACCTATTTTTTAAGCCATCATATTCATTAGTGTATTTTTATATATTGACCTTGGTTTTCTTTTAAGTCTTGATTAAACTCTATTTTAATGTTCTCTAAAGATTTGATTGATTGCCAGATAGCAATTGTGTTCGGATTTGAAATTTAAGTACGGATTTGTGAAAAAAAAAAATAAAAAAACAAAAGAAAGAAAAAAAAAAGTGGGGAAAAAAATGACTTATATTTCATTCACTTCTCCTTTCTCATTTTATTTTTCTCCATAAACCTCTCCGTAAATCCACAATCTAAACATAGCCTTAATCTTTTCTCTATCTATTTATTTTTTTTCGATTAAAGTTTTGTTTGTTGGTTCTTGCATGATTTCAAAAGTTTAACTCTAGAAGTAAACAAAGCATATTTTTCACAAATTTTTGTTTGTTGTTTACTCACTACTGTGCTATACAATGATACCCTTTCTCAGTATTTTTGCTAAGATCCAATTTAATGTCTTATCAATTTTTTACCCTTTATTGTTTATTTGTGACTAATTTTGGTTGTTATTTTGTTATCACTTTTGTATTTGTTTTAAAGATATAGACCCATAAATTGGACTTTGTATATATCACTTCCTCAGCAATCAAAATCCTCATAAAATATAAAAATGAAAAGGACTTATGTTCTTATCAAAGCAACTTTTCCTGTTTTTCCTCTTAACTAAAGTTTCAAAACAGGGATTTATATGGTGGAGATAGAATTATTCAATTCTAGAATGGACTCATTCTTGTCTTTTTGCTCTCAGCTCAATACATAAAGCAAAAACATTTTTTCCCCCCCTAATAACTACAGCAACATCTATTTCAAGTGGGTTGTGCAACTATCAATATAGGCAATAGCTTTGCACTGCATGGAGACTGCTACTACATGTACTAGTTTTGGCTTCTAGGAAAACAGCCCATCAGAGATGCTCTAGCTAGTGTTCGGACAGTACATTAAGTTCTGTTTTAACACCTATTTCCTTCTATTCCTTTTAATCACTGACGATTGCTCATGCGGTAAGGACTTGGGGTGTTAAGCTCTAGGTTCTGGGTTCGGCTCTCCTCTAGGCCAGCTACTCGGGCGCTAGCACACCAGGTTGGTAGGACGAACTTTCCAAACCTGAACAAACCATACCCAATATCTGGAGCGCACGTCGAATTCTTGACTATGTGCCAATCCATGACTCGCTACTATATGATTGAGTGGCCATGTTATGGTCTAGTCCCCGGGGACATCCTTGTGGTTGGGCTTTTTTTTATTTATTATTCATTTTCTTAATAAAGAAACTATTTTGTTACGTTAAAGGTACTTCAAAATATTTCATTTTGGAAAACTCTTAGGTGTGCATTGCATACCATATACATGCACTTTTATTATATAATTTTGTGGTTTGAGTTATACATTTTTGTAAAATGACTTATGTAAGTTCTTGAAAATTTATGTAATTTTGTAAATTTTAAAACTTTTATAAATAGAGTTACGCAAATTTGTGTTCAATTTATGTATTTTTATAAGTTCACTTTTGTAGGTTCGTGAAAAGTTACGTAATTTTGTGAATTGTGCATATGCTATGTGCAACCTTACACACCCAACACTTCCCAAAAATTTAAGATAACTACTTTTTTTTTTTTCTCTCTCTAAAAAATGTGTGCCATAAACAACATAAAATTATTTTAAATTTTGTTATCTAACATTTTTATAACACTCGTTAACAAAACCTTTAAAAATAAGTTACAATTTTGTGTGTAATATAACTTTTGTGACACCAAAATAAATCATTCTAGTGTGCTTGAGAATTGAAAATGAAATTATAAATCCACCGTTGACCAACATTAAAATGTACCTCATTAGGAAGTTAAAGATTTAAGTTTGCTTCTCTCGAAAACTAAGACGTCTATACCCCAAAAAAAGTATCGAAGAGAAATGAGATGGCACTAAACCTATTTCACTATAGGATATGAAAATCTTAAAAACCCCAAAATATAGTGATTTGCAATTAGGATTCAATTTTACCAATGAATAACGATCCCCAATCAAACACAAGTAGATCTAATTCAACTAAATGAGAATTGAATTATATCAACCAAACAAATATTAACAAATCAACACAACGATATAACGTGGAAAAATCACAATTGAAACATCTCCAATTGTGATAAAAGACCACGAACCAAAGTCACAAAATAATCTACTAAGAAGATAAAGAAATTACACACAAGAACCTTCAATTACTTAGTGAATCCACATCCAAATTGAATTGAACCCGATATGCCTCTTCCACCACCGTTTTCACCTCAGAATTGCTTTGCCCAACATTGAATCCACAATGCTGATGTCGAATTCACGACGATAAATCACTCCAGAATCCACCAAAGCTTTAGGCTCAAATTTTCCTTAATCCACTGATAAACATCTCTCTTTGTATGAATGATAAAAACAAAAGAAACACATTGATGGTTGTCAATATGTAGTTCGGTGATCCATTGATCACCCTCAATTCATCAAGGAAACCAATATATAAACACTCTTCAATATATAACACTTTAGCTTCTCTCTTCTCTAAGAATTCTGGAAGGGTTAAATCCTAAAACAAGGAATCAAGGCCCAACAAGAGACACTAAGACTGCTCGAGCTCAAGAATGACCGCTCGAGCGATAAGACTAGTAAGGCGATGCTAACAAACTTCCACCTGTCCCTTCCCTCGAGCGCAAGACTTACCACTCGAGCGGTAAAACCCATCTCCTAATATCTCCGAACTCAAACTGAGATACTAGATGCTCCAATTCAAAGCTTGAGTGCACACTTGACCGCTCGAGTGGTCTAAAAACTTTGACAGGCTCAAAAACTCCTCTGCTCATGCACACCTTTCCGTCAGCACAAACTCCTCTACTCAGACACAAATTAGGTTGGGTTCGCATCTAAACTCTCACAAACTCACAGATTCAAAGCGACGAATGTAATTACATTTAAATGGAGTTTTGTCAAACGAAATTGCCAATTACAAAATACCTAACAATCTCCCCTTTGGCAATTCCATGACAAAACACACTTAACAAGAAAATCCTAATCACCCCAACCCAAAACACATAATAAAAGGCGAACTTCTCAAGCTCACAATTTGCAAAACAATTATTAGTACCACAAAAGTATATGATAGCATAAAACATATGACAACATGAAAATTTTAAAAGAACCTCATGCCATTATGCAACAACAAACGTCATGCTATCATGCAACACCACATCAATAATCTCCCATTTTTTGTCATAATTGACAAAGGGAGTGCAACCAACAAAGGACAAATTCTAACCACGGAAAGCATAGACTGAGACAATAAACAAGGGACAAGATGATGTAAAAACCAACAATAACATGTGAGAAATAAGCAACATAGAACAACATGCAAACCAACATGCACCGATCTCCCTCACAAAAACAATCAAAGTAAGTCCAAGCTCAACAAACTCTCCCTCAAAGAATAAACCACCTCATCAAAGTAACAACAAACACCAAGAAAACAAAGAATAAAAAAGAAAGACACAAACAATATGGTAGAGCAAGTGAAGAATTTCATATTTGTACCTCAAAACACAAAAAAAAAAAAAAAAAAAAAAATCCAAGAAACACAATTACTTGAAAACATAATGTGCACAATCTTTAGAAAATTCCTCATGAATGAATGTAGTGCAAAATGTGAAAAGCATAGATCTCATGAGAAAAGTGTGTATGTGTCTCTTGGAGTTCGACAAACACTAGAGTCAAATCATGGTAATGATCTAATGGCTGGACATCCAGCAAAACAATTCGTGAATGACTGAAAAAAAATTCAAACCATTACTGATCAAGAGGCATTTATTGAGTAAATATGAAAGCACCCTCTCAGACAAAACAATATTTTCTTGCACATTCACTGGCGTCTTTCACACTCAAGAACATAGAAACCGAACCAGGGAATGATGAAGAGAGAGAAAGAGAGAGAGGCCTAGTTGGTGACTCTAAAGTAGCCTTTTCCTCATGCCTTGAGAGACATGTACAAAGGGGTAAGCAGTGGTGATGCAAAAAGATTGTATAGGATAAGAGACTGAACATCATCCAAGATCTACTAACATTGGTCAATTTCTCAAGAAAACCACAAGAAACACTTTTAGAAGTTCACAGAAAACTGTGATTACTTTTGCAGAAGAGTTCGGGATTTGCTAATCCATAAGTGTGTACAGAATGAGACTTATTAATCAATGTTCACACAATCAGTAATGAGTAATGATTACAGTTATCACACACAAATTATCAAGTAATGGAAATTCTTATCAATTCCAACATGTAGCAAGAACTCAA